GTCCAGACCGCGATTTGCCCGATAATTTGTTCGCGAAGGTGTTTGAAGTAGACGACCCAGAGAAGCTGTCTGGCCAGTATATTGCGACTGTCGCCTCTCGCATTTTTGATAATGCTATATATATATATTGTGATTACTGCGCCATGGCTCCTTTGCGACTGTGTTCTGTCTGCGCTGGGATGAGATTCGTCAGATTCTGCGGATTGACGCGTCAGATGCACCCGCCGCGACGGCGTCATGGAAGGTTGTGCTCGACCGACGTTTCGGAGGAATTTTGATCGCTCCATTGACGGACTCAGGATGCATCGGCTATGTGAAATGCACAGAAGGCTTTGCCATGCAGTGCGGTCTAGATGACCAGCTGGCCTCGAGCGACTTCAAGCACGAGGTGATTCTGCCTCCGCTCTGGGAGGGCGGCAATCTTGCATGCCCGAAGTCGTGTCGCAATCGCTCGGGGTGTGATCAGCTGCTCGCGCTCCTCGCAGCCAGTGCTATGCGAGTCAAGGCTCGGGGCCCCGAGCGCGATCCGTTCTGGGAAATGCTGGGCCTCAGGAAGTTCCCGAGTATGGAAATAAGCCCTGGGGCCGGGAACGATGTTCCTGCGTCGATTGCGAGGCTTCCAGCATGTGCACGGGGTCGCGGCCCCGCAAAAAACATAGACACGTGAGCAAAGGTGGAATTACCCAAGGTTCGCAACATGCCGATACAAGTTGGCTCCCCAAGGCAGGACAGCCTCTACGCTTCAGTACATGGCTGCGGTTGCGCGGCGGCCCACGCCGGCATAGGATACCTCGCCAATTCAGGCCCCCGCATGGCTTCAGATCGAGGTTCGGATGTTTGGTCATCGTTGGGTCAAATATCTTATGCATATGGAAGAGCCGGCCGTCGGACTAGAGGTTGTTGCCCCTGTTGAAGTTTGGTGGCCGTTCTTGAGTTGCCGCGTTCACGCCGACGGGCAGCGCTTCGGATATTCGGAGCCCTTCCTATGGAGCAACCTCAGAACGTGCGATGGAGAGGCGCGCGACTTGTCGAACGGCTGGGGGGCGTTGCGACTGGGGGGAGGAGCTGGGCATCATCTTCTCATTTTCGAGTACCTCAAAGACTGTATGTGGAATAATTTCAAGGAGGTTTGGGGGCCGTCTGAGCTGGTTGGTCAAGATGAAGAAGAAGAAGAAGTATATGATTACTCTTCCGAGCCTGCCGCAGGCGCTGCACCCCCCTCTCGCGGAGACAGCCGCCACGGACAAACTCCGCCGCCGAGGCAGCGTCGCAAGTGCGCGAAGGCGAGTGCCGATGCGCGCGGTTGCGAGGCATCTCGTGCTCAGAAGCGCAGCGGCAGTTATGGCCCGCCTGGCAGGGCCTCCATCGCGCGCTTTCGGACATGGGGGCCTGCGAAGTGGCGCCTGGAACAGCGCGTGCCATTGCGGACACTCCGGCAGCGTGGCCCTCGTGCGATCGGCAGATCCCCCGAGAGCGACGGGCGCGCATCGCCCGGCGCGCCCCCATGACAGGGGGTCGAGCCGCGACCAACAGGTGTTGGAATCAGAGTGGCGGACTCGCTTCGAGGCCGGCGTCCGCGCCTCCTGCGCCGATTGCGCCGACGGCCCCGACGGCCGCGAGAGTCCGCCGCACCATGGCGTCGCGACTTCACCAATGGCGGCGGGGCGAAGCGGCGTCTTCGCGGGCCCCCTTGCGCGCTGATGCTGCAGATCGCTGGGCGTCTTGGTCGTCTTCTTCGAGCTGGACTGATTGCGGGCCCAGCGTGGCGACCGGGGCTGGGGCGCCGGTCGCGACGGCCGCCGCGGCGATCAGCGGTGGGAGAGTTACCGCTCAGGCGGCGGGCGTGGGCGACAGGCCGAGACGACGTCTTCGCCGGGCCCGGCCCCCGCGGAGCGATGACATCAACCCTGGGCGCGCCAAGGTCACTGACGGGCTGGTAGCATTGCGCGTCGATGGCTGGGCGGCGCGCGCCAGGGGGCCCTCGGCTTGCCCCGCTGAGCGGTGACAGGAGCGCCCCCATCCCTGCCGCCTGCGCCGCATCATGCTTTCTCGGGTTGGCGCGTCGGGGGGCCCGCAGAGGCACTGGGGGAAGGGGCGAAGCCTGTCCGACGTTCTCGAGATTTATGGAAGGCTGTTCTGCGTGTCCCGCCTCCTCTACTTGGGATGTTAGCCAATGCGCTGACGTCCACCTTGGCGCGGCAATGTCGCGCCGGGTGCCCGCGGGGGGGGGGGGGGGTATTCCTAATGCTCCCTTCGTTTATGTATGCAGCCCTCCATTTTTTCCCTTGCACAGCGTTGGATCAGGCGGTGGGGCTGTCTTCGCTGCTGCTTGTAGCTACCCCAGCAAAAAAGCGCGCGCCGGCCGGCTGGGCGGGCCAACCATGCGCGCGCGCATACGGATACACCATACCCTGCTTATAGCAATTTGGCTTCACGGACTTACTTAGCCATGTACTCACCAGTTCGTAGTGGGACTTTAGCTCCTCGTGAGCTATTAGAAGAAGAAGAATAATATCAACAAGCATAACATTCTAGCCATGCCAAGACACGTTTGCCTAATATGAGAAAGAGCGTGTTCTACCGCTGCTGGCGGAAAACCGGGGGGGGGGTCACTGCCGGTTCGAACCCCTCCCCCCCCCCTCAGGAAAACCGGGGGGGGTCACTGCCGGTTCGAGCCCCCCCCCCAGTTCATCATGAAAAGGGGGGGGGTCACTACCGGTTCGAACCCCCCCCCCTCGAACTCGAAAGCCGGGGGGGGTCACTACCGGTTCGAGCCCCCCCGCCTCGAAAACCGAGGGGCGGTGCGGACAGTGGTGGGGACGGTGGTGGTGGGGACAGCGGTGAGGGGACAGCGGGAAAATGGTGGGGACAGTGGGACAATGGTGGGGACGGTAGTGGTGGGGACAATGGTGAGGACAATGGTGGGAACAGTGGGGACAGTGGGACAGGGGTGAGGACGGCGGTGGTGGGGACAGTGGTGTGGGGACAGTGGGAATGTGGTGGAAACAGTAGGACAGTGGAGGGTACAGTGGTGGTGGGGACAGTGGTGAAGGCGGTGGCGAGGACGGCGGCGGGACAATGGGACAGAGGTACAGTGGGGACAGTTGTGGGGACAGTGGGGACAGTGGTGGGAACAGTGGGACAGCTCAGTGGTTCGAACCGGTAGTGACCCCCCCTCCAGTTTTCGAGGGGGGGGGGGTTCGAACCGGTAGTGACCCCCCCCGGCTTTCGAGTTCGAGGGAAGGGGGGGGAGGGGGAGGGGGGGAGGGGGGGGTTTGCCGGGGGAAGGGGGGGGGGTCCAGCAGGGGGGGGGGATTTTCGGAGGGGGGGGGGGGACCCCGGGCTCCGGAGGAAAAGGGCGGCACTTTTCCATAGTAAAGCGGCGGTGGATCACGTTTTCCTTAATATGACGATCGGCAAAACACTAGTATATATATATATATATATATATATATATATGCGACGGTTTTACGGCCAGCGCCGCCGACCCTGAAGAGGGACGACGACGACGACGCCATGGCCTCCTGCGGCCATTTCCAGGATGCTCTTGTGTCTCTCAGGGATGCCTTTTAGGTGCCTTCGCGGGCCCCTTTGGGGGACTGTTGGGGTGGAAGGTGCGACATATCGGTTTGTGCTCCCCCTCTGCAGTAGCTTCAGGGGAATGTGTTTGGGCCCTCTAGATTCGTCTCATAGGGCCGTGTTGGGCTGCTTGAGGGCCCCCATAGGGGCCTTTGGCGCCGCCTTGGGGCGATCTTGGGGACTTTTTGGGCCGTCGTGGAGCTTCGGAAACCCGAATCGGCGAGAACGCGACAAACACATATCATAATGTCGAGACACTTCATGATTCCGGCCTCGTGAGGCCCTTTTTGGGGGTCCTCTTGGAACCCTCTTGGAGCGGCGCTTTGGGTTCCCGAAAGTTTTTTCGAGGGCATCGTTAGTTGTATTGACACGATCTTGGGCCGTTTGCGGGCCTTCCTGGACCGTCTCGGACGTAAGTAACAGCAGAAAACTCCAAATGGGACCGACAACTCATTTTTCTACAAGGGAACAGGGGAGGGAATGTACAGTCGAGTCGCATGGTAAGCATGAACAAATTTCCAAGGCAACCCCTGGATCCTTGCCCTTTCGGCCCATCCTTTGCGATTTTGGTGGCTAGCCCAGTTCGAAAACGCCAACATTGCTCTCCGAGGCCCTTAATCCTACCGCGCATCCTTATTCTGCGACTTGACTGCGCTGTGACCCAGGACCCCCCCCCACACCCCAGTGCCCCCCACCTCCCAGCAGGGAAGGCTTCACAGCGAAGGGGCTTCCCTTTGACTCGAGTGCTACGTTTCTTCATATCCTTTTGGCTGGCGCGATCGGGGAGGACGGCCCAGGGAAAGGAGGAGATGGCGCGCTGGAGGAAGAGGGTCCTGCGTTGCAGCCCAGGCCGTTCGTACACATTTGAAGTTCCTTAGTTTTGTTGGTTCAGCCCGTGTTGTTGCAGCAAGCAAGCTGCTCAACAAAACCACCAGGTGTGCCCGCACATGCATACTCCCACGCAAACGTACGCACAAGCACACGGACAGAAATTGGTGAGCAGGCGTGCTTGCGTGCACACACGTGTGCACACGATTAGATTTGTGCGTTCGCGTACGTGCGAATAATGACCTCGCTCTTCGCAACCTTGCGTTCTTGCGAGCGATCCCGCAACTGTGAGCCCATGCAGGTTTCCTGCACGATCCCACCGCTCCCTGCTGGACTCTCCACGCAGGTTCCATCCGACCGATCCGGTTCGACATAGCCTGCTTTATCCGATCCTGTACCGGTATTCCGACGATCCTATGAGGCCCGACGCTTGCATGGCGCCGTTGCGCATCCTGGCGCGGCCGATCCGAGTTGAGCCGATGCGGTCCGTTCCGACGCACGCTCCGACTCGAGCCGATTCCTCCCCTTTTTCGATGCTACAACTGACCCCGCGATTCTCCGTGATCCTCCTCGCTCCTGGCTGACCCAACCAGGAACGCCTCCAGGGTCAGATCAAGGAGGCCGAGGCCGCCCGGAAGGAGTGCAAGTCCCGCTTGGAAGAGCAGGACCCCCCCTGGAAGGTGGGCCTCTCTGTCACTTTCCACTCCCTTATCCGTCGCCCCTCGGCTCTCCCGCTCCCGCTCCCTCTCTGTCCCTCCCGCCTCCCTTCCCCCCTTTCGCTCCTACATCCTTCCGTTTCTCCTTCCGCTATCTCCCTCCCTTCCTCCTTTTCCCCGTCCCTCCTTCCCTCCGTCCCCATCCACCTGAACGGTACCTGCTCTGCCTTTTCATCCCTTCCTTGCCTGAGCCCGAAGCCAGCTTGGCTCAAGTCAGTACTGCGCCCGTGCCCGCTGTATTCGCGCGTTCCACCGCTTTCATACCTTTGATTCCGGGGGAGGCCCGCGTGCACATTCACCTATCGCATCCATGTTTGCATTCGGTAGCGGAGCTTCGGATCCAGAACCACGGCCGCAATGGCTTCTCGCTCTCGCTGCGCATCGACCGCGCCAGCTCCAGCAACCCACTGCTATCATGACCGCGATCACACAGCCAGCTGCCCACTACGGTGGCCGCCCGCCTTCGCCGCGTTCGTGCGCTTTTCTGCCTGTTCGCCTACGGGGCGGCCGCCCTTCCGCCTCCAGTACCAGCGACGGGGAGCGTGCGCAACCCGTACCGTTGCAAGTACACCTTAGGCGATGGTTAAGAAAACCCAAGTTTTCGGCCAGAGTCTCGATTATTCTTAATGTTTCCATGTACATCCTAAGATTTCGATGGAAATTCTGGGCTTCTACTCAAGTTCTGAGACTATGAATTTCTTAACCCATGATTTCTTAAGCATTTCGCAGGGTGTACGTCGACGGGGGTTTCAAGGATCCTGGACATTCTCCGGTTCCCTCGGCGATCTCTCCCAGGCTTGCCCTGACTGTGTCGGCGCAGCTCGTGGATCCAGGCCTCGCAGATGGGGCCCGGGCAGGCGAGGTCGGAGGATCGCGCCGCTTCGCCGACGCATCGTCGATGCGGCTCGATGCGGAGCCCGATGTCCTCTGCGCCAATCGCCGATGCACCGCCCGCGTGGACGATGCGTCGCCGGCGCATCGCCGGTGCATCGCCGATGCGTCGCCGATGTGTCGGCGAGGCGGCGCGATCCCCCGATTCGATCTACTCCGACCCCATCACAGGCACAGAGCAAGGGCTCCCATGAGGGCGCGAAGTTATTCGCGCTTCGCGCTTCGCGGTCCTCGTTCCTTCTCCCCCCTCCTCCTCGTCCTCCTCTTCTCCCTCTGGGGGGGCGGCGCGAAAGCGCGAAGTTATTCGCGCTTCGCGCTTCGCGGAGCGCGAAGCGCGAAGTTGGGAGCCCTAGACTCCGACCCCATCACAGGCACAGAGTCCCTTTTTCGCTACACCCGCGTGTTTAGAAACAAAAAACCACGAATGTCGGACAATTGCGCCTGGGCAGCGTGGACATCTGCTCCGTCGGCCAACGGCTGCAGCGCGGGATCCTCGGGACTTGCAGGCGTAGAAACTGCGGGCAGGCAATGGGGGGCCTGGTGAGACAGCGCTACCAGCAGTCCGACGAACATCGAATCGGGTCTGGAAAAACCATTTTCGATCGTTTCCCGGATGCTATTTCACCTTACCCATGGATTCTTTGCAGCCTGGCAGGCTTGGGCCCTGATGCGCATTTTTTCACCATCGCGCAGTTGGCGGTACTCAGTGCAGTGGCAGCGCGACGCAGGAGGAGCATTCCGCTCATTGTGCCACGCGATGCCCCGATTACCGAGAGCAGCGCAAAAGGGTTGAAACAGACACCCAGTGCGCAAACAAGAAGGAACCTCTCCTGGGCAAGAATCCACGGTGGCGCGGAGGAACCTTGCCTGAACTCCCCAGTTCCCCCGCGACACGCGGAGGGAACTGCATTCCTGATGGAAGGCCGTCGGAGTGGGCGCGATTGCCGTCGCCAGCTGCTTCCCTTGCGTGGGCGGAGGCGGCGGCGCCGACGACGTGCGCCACCTCCGCACTTGGGGGCCCGAGCGGCAGGCTCGCGTGGCCTGCCAGAGATGGGCGCGCGAAGCGATGATGTGGGCAGTGGCGAATTGAGACCTCAACGAGTTTCGCCGGGCGGCCTGTGCCTCGTCGCGCCCCGCTGGCGTGGCGCGCGAGTGCGCGAACGAGTGGCCGCCACTTGTCCTGATCCAGGGATGCTTCATCAGCGGCAACCCATTGCCACCGATGGATTTCCGGATGCGCATTTTTTTCAAGCCGTGGGGCCAGCTGGGGGAGGAGGGGCGCACTTCGGCAGTGTCAACGCTGATGATCTTCAACCGGCTGCCGCAAGAGTGCATTGACAACCTTCCCAGACGGTTCGGCGTCCTCCGCAACCCGGCGGAACGGCAGGTCAAGTCATGATCAGCTACCTACGAGGGTATCAGATCTATGCTGCGCCCTGCTGGCGTGTCAAAACATTCAGTTGACCGTGATCTTGCGTCGCTGCGACGTGGCCTGCCACCGCGAATGCAGCGCAGCTCGCGCGCGTGGGTGGCCAGCTGCCACGGTGCGGGCGCACGGTCGAGGGATCGCCAGGCGACCTCGTTTCGGCGGTCCACTCTGCCCAACGGCGCACCTTCATCACTGGTGCGCTCGCGCAAGATCAGGCTCGCGGTGCGTGGGGCGTTAGCCAGATCGAGCTGGGATGGAATGGGTCCAGCCGCATTCGGGGGGCGGCTTCTGGCCCGCCCGCGCCGGTAGCCCAGCGCCGGCGCGGCGGCGCCAGAGCAGGGGGCATTCCCGGCCGCGCGCGTCGACTCGGGCCCCGACTGACGATCCCGAGCTACGCGACGCTCCTGCGGAACGACGCGGCGCGCACCTTGTCCGGGCATGTGAGCGCACAGAATCCGGCTGGCGCGGCGTCGACGTGACCGCCAGGCAGTTTTCGCGGGCTTCGGGGGATAGCATACGCACAAGCAAAAGGAAGCTCAGGGCCAGTGGCGTGGGTTAGATCGCCGCGACAAGACCCGCGGGCCCTGACGGGGGGCGTTGCAAATGCTGCGGTTGCGACTCTGGAGAGCACCTCGCGCGCGACTGCCCCTGGCGCCGGCGGAATCAGCGGCCGCTCCGCGTGCGTCGTCAGACAGGCATTGGTCGCGCTGGGTAGGGCGAAACTCTGCGCCATCTGTCCCGCAGATGCATTCTGCTGCCAGGCGTTCGCGCCGCGCGTCTGATGCGCGGCATTTAATCAGCGGGCGGTTGGCCTGGCAGCGCCCGCAGCCTGTCCATCTGGCGGTTCCTCGGGGGCCCGGGCGACGTTCAGCAGATACACCCTGGCGGCGCCGAGTTCGACGCCCATCAGCGCGTCGGCGAACAGTGGAAGGGAGGTCGCAGCGCCCAGTTCATCTCGGGTGATGAGCTGAGCCATTGCTGGCAGCAGGCACCGGACCAGATCTACGCGGAGTTTTCGGTGATTGTGTTATCGACTTTCCCGAGGACGCCGGTAGCGCCGCTGAGGGGGGTTCACAGCCCGCCCCGTCGGCAACCCCCGAGGACGCCGTCAGCGACTTCAGCCACGTCGGACAGGTGACGGTGGCGACATGGCGCGAAGTCGAAGGGGCAGAAGGTCTGGCCCAGGAGCTCGAGGAGCTGGAGAGCACTGGCAGCCAGTAGGAATCCACGCTGCTGTCGAACACGCCGCGGCCAGTCTTGGCCGCAGCGCCAGCGTCAAAACATCTACGCGCGCTGCCATGCTTACCTGCGCGGGGTCTCCTTTGACGACTGCGCCGCGCTAGGGGGGGGAGCCGACGGGGAAGACATATGGCGCGCCATTTTGATCCGGAGGTGCGCATGGCATTCTTGCGTTGGCGGCGCCCCGTGGGCAGCCGCCTCTAATGTCCAGGCCGCCGTTGCGACCGCGGTCGCCGAGCGCAACGCCGACCTTCTGACTGACGAGCAAGCGTCGAGGCCGTCGAAGGAGGTCGCAGCGGCCATCTTTGAAGATCCCACCATCTGAGTCCAGCAGAAATGCTTCGAGAGGCGACGTCTCAAGGGCGTCTGAAACGCGATGGACTCCAGGCATGTCCTCAACTTGGAGCGCGCACGACGGACCGATTTGAACACCTCGAACCGGTGCTGCTCCCGTGCCCGCCGCATTCGCGCGACCTACCGCCTTCGTGCCTTTTGTTTCGCCCGCTGGAGAAAGGTCCGCCTTCGTATCCAGCCTATTGGATGGGCGATCACCAACCCCCTTTGGAACTGGGAGATGGTTCATTTTGATTCGGGGGTGGGGCGCTTGGTTAATTGTGGTTGAGGTTGCTGGTGTACGCTTTTAACCATTGCTCATTGTATCGGGCACTTCTAACTAAATGCGATTGAAAACAGGCGCCGCCATAGCTTGTCCAATCCCCCGCCCAACATCATCTGTGATTACACGGGAGGTGTCTCTAACAGATGCTAGACAAGTGAGTCCGACTGCGCATTTATCTTGTGCGAAGCGGGCGGATCAATCACACGCGTGCTCGCGAAGGCTTGCCGTCAGCTAGAAAACTGACATGCTCGGGCTGGGGTCTTTGCTGGACGTGGCAAACCATGCTTGAATGAGACGGTGTCGCCTTTCGCCCGCTCCTCCTCCCCCCCTTCGCCCCGCATGTTCTCCCACCCGGTGCCCGAAACACCTGCCGCGATTGCATTGCGTATCTCGCCCCTAGGCACGGTCATCCTCCGTCGGTGCTCTCCACTTCCCTTTACCAGGCCTATCTCGTCCCGGGCCTATCACCCTCCTCGATTGCATCGCCTATGTCGCCCCGGGCCTGGTCAGTATCTCCACCATTTCCTTCCGTCTTGTCGCCAAAATCTAAAACGCCCCCTGCTGCCTCCCAATCTTCCTTTTGCCTTTAAATCGCGCCCGCCCCCCGATCCCCAATTCATCTCCTGCGGATCCCGGCCATGCCGGGTATCATTAATTAGCCCCGTCATCCATCTTCATGCCTTCGCGCCTGATCGTTTTATGTCCTCTTTTTTTCTTCGTGCCCCTCCCCTGTCGCATTTTTTCCGCTTCTTGGTAAATCATTATTTGCACTCCCCGTGTATCCGTCCTGGTTCCCGCCCCAGGCCGCCTCCACAACCACCGCGGTCCAGGTGTCCGTGCTCACATTTGCGTAATCACCCTGGTCACCATCGCAATCACCAGCACCATCGTCGTGCTCGCCATTCTTCATCGCCGGCGTATGTACATGACCGCCGTCGCCCCGCATGCATCCCACCATCTCAACAACTAACCATATTTCTGACCTCCTCGCTTCATCGGCCATCCCCACGCCCCTTCACCTTCCTCACCCCCCCAGCGCCTTCACCTCGGATGCGTCCTGAATACATCTCCCTGCGCAGCTTGATTGCTAGTCGCGTCGGCGGCGGGGGCAACAACGGAGGGGCGCGGCAGTAGCATCAGCACTACCGGACGCTATCCGATTCAGTTGGGTTGAGGCAGCCTCGCTTTCACTCTCGCCTTCCCAGCCTCGCTCCATGGCGATGCGATTCGACAGCGACTTTTGCGATTGGTTCGTATCCGTGCACCACCCCCGTGGTTCTGAGCTGGCCTGGTCAGCAGCATATCGAGCTAAAGCGCGGCACTTGCACTCGCGGAAAGAGTTGTGTACCGACCTCAGTCGATCACAATAGCTTCGATTGCATTCGTTCTCTGGGTAGCCGGGCTGGTTTGGGAAGCAGTTTGCGGAGACTACGAGACAGGTGAAACTGGAGGCGAACGCATGAGCTTGCCCTTCGGCACGGTCCACTCGCCGCACTCGGCTGTCCTCAACCGTTTTCGTTCCCTTGTTCACCGCATGAATCAGACGACGTGCTTCTGGGTCTGGGTCGAATCGGGGCTCCCAGATGCCTCGGACAGAGAACAAGTCTGCCTTAACCACCTCGGCCATGCTCGCTGGGTTCTAAGCGTTCGGGCCTGCGCCAGGGGAGTTGATTCCTTCGCACGTTGCCGTGGGCATCAGGGTCGAAGATCGGTCATGACAATCCGAAATCCTACATCTGTGGAGTTGGTCAAATGGCTACCGTCTGAGAGGTCTTAGGTCAAGGGCGAAACGATGCCCCCGTCCGTACGATGCTTTGGCAGCAACCGTTTTGACAAGTGCAAGCCTGAAGGTGAAGTTCAACAAACGGACGTATCAACGATGGCTCACTTCCAACGCCAACCACATTTTCGTGCATCCACCTCCTCTGACCCTCTACAGGTGCATAATTCCACCCCGTTCTCCCACCACCCACCCTCCCTCTGTGTCCCCATACACAAACCTCCACTCCTCATTCGCACTTCGTCCCCGTCCCGCTGCTTTCCCACGCTGCTCCATCCTCCTCCCATCCCCTTATCACCCCCGCGCCCACATCGTTCACCCCTCTTCCCCCCCCCCCCGCAACCCCCCGAGGCTGGGGAGTGGCATGGGGCTTCATTGATGGCAGTGCTACGTGTCGCAGCCGCAGTCTCACCCCTCAGAAGACGCATATCTCGTACATTGCAATAATTGGGTAATACCGTTATATATACACATATACTTTGTGTTTCAGTGGCTGGGGTTACCTGCTGAACAGGAATGGACCTCCCGAGAGCCCAAGAGCCTCCCTCATAAGCGTGGGCCAATGTTTGCTTCCACCATGTTGTGAGGAATTCTGCGTGTTCAAGACAACTCTTGGTCGATGGGGATCACGCTCATTCCATAGCCATTGAAGTGGTCCAAAAAGATTATTCATGGTAGCGGAGCTGGGTCAGCCTTCCACGGCCCAGCTCTAGCTTCCCCGCGCGTGCGCGTCTCCAGCACGTGGAAGCTTGTGGAGGCCTCGGACCTCCAGCATAGGACATGAACGGGCAGCAGGTGTTGAATGCGTTCCACCAGCTAAGCGAGACGTTGCGCCAAAAGCAACTCGCGGCGCAGCAACATCAGCAGCGCTCGGACGTGGCGCTGGCGGCGGTGGCCGCCCAAGTGGCGGAGCAGGGACGTGCGCTCCAAGCATCGCTGGGGCAGAAAAAGGCGCCCCTTGAGGGCGAGTCGGAGAAACGCAGTAAGCAGGGGCTCATCGACACGAAGGCGGTGGGCAAGCCGGTCGCGTTCACTGGCAAGGAATCCGACTGGAAGGCTTGGAGCTTCAAGTTCACCACTTGGCTCAACGGCCAGTTCAGCGACGCCGAGGAGATCCTCGAGTGCGCCGCCGGCTTCGGCAGCGAGACAATCACGGCGGAGAGGGCGCAGGACATCGTGGACGAACATCCGCGGATTGAGCTCAGTGCTCAGATGCATGCGGTCTTGGTCAGCTTGGCCGCGGTGGGCACAGCAACGTTCGACATCGTGAAGAGCACCAAGAAGAGCTGCGGCCCAGATGCTTGGCGTCGGCTCGTTCGGAAGACCGATCCGACAACCCTTCGGCCAACCTTCGTCTCCTCAGGAAGATCCGGCGGCCTCCGCAGACCTGGATCGATCAGTTGCTCACTGCGATAGCACAGTGGTGGTACGATTACATGCACTACGAGGAGCGGACGGGCGAGGAGTCGACGGACTTCACGTGGAAAGCGCGCCTGCAGAGCATGTGCCCGAACGCGCTCAGCGACCGCATCGACGTGGGCGTCGACGTCCGCGTCCGCGAGGACCGAGGTCGGACAGTGCATCGAGCAGGTGCAGGCCAGGATTGGCCCGGCTCCGATGGACATCGGATCGCTGGCACGCGGCGTCAAGGACCCCAAAGGAGGCAACAAAAAAAGAGGTAAGGAATTCAATGGCAAGAGCGAGGGCACGTCCGATCCAGCTGGCGGGGGGCCGACATCGGGCCCTGCTGGCGGTGGCAAGGGTTCTGGCCAGCAGCAGCTCTGGCCTGCGATCGGCGCTGGCGGTGGCGCAGAGGAGAAATATGAGGAGCGAGACGAAGAAGGAGGAGGAGGAGACAATGGACGATGCGAAGAATGAGGAGGAGCAGACAGAGGAATGGAAGGACAATCGGCATTCCGATTGGTACCACAGCGACCTTGCCGCCGGTTTCTCCTGGGAGCTCGCCAAGAGGGAAGAATGCAGCGGGAAAAGGTTGGAGAAGCATCTTGCCGCTGGCGCAGACGAGATGAAAAAGTATGGAGGAGAAGGGCCGCTGGGAGGAGAAGATGAACAGATGGGGAAGAGCGCGAGGAGAGGGGGGGCCCGCGACGGCGAGGCTGCGGGTCCGAAATCAAGGAGAAGCCCTCCGGCGCCAAGCGGAAGACGCCGACGCAGAGGGCGAGGAGGGAGAGGCTGAAGAAAGAGGAGGAGAGGAACACTTCAGGTCTCGACTTGAGCGAGTGGACCCCGCCCATGTGCGCGGGCCGGCAGGGGCGCCGCAGGGGGGGCGAGTGCGCCGGGGCCCCGCGAACGACGCCCCAGAGGCAGGCGAGGCCCAGTGGGGGGCCTTCACTACGGCGGCGGCGCGGCCACCCGGCTGCGTTATCGAGCCGAGTCGGTGGGGCTCAGCGGAGGATGCCGGCGCGTTCCGGCGGCGTTTCCGGAACGCGCCCAGGGCGCTTGGGTGCACCCTGGGCGGCCTCGGGCCGGGCGTTGAAGAGGGGGGCCAAGGCGTCGCAGTCGAGCCTCGGTCGCCCGGCTGATCCGGCTCCAGAATGGAGCCGGAGTCGCCCAGCAGGAGGAGATATCAACGCAATGGAGGGTTCGGGAAGCCGGGCGGGCGCTGCCCCAGAGCCGTCGCGCAAGTGGCAGCAGGGGGGCAGGGGGCGCATCGACATTGCCGCCGATTCCGGCGCATCCGCGTCGACCGTCGATGTTGCCGCGGCGCGTTGCAAAATACCACCCGCTCAAGACTGGCGCGTCGCCTCGCGCGCGCAAGACCGCCAGCAAGCACGGGGTCCACCTGGGCGGCGAGAAGGAGCAGATCTGCGGCTTCATGAACATTGCCGGCGTGCGCACGAGCTGGAAGGTTGGAGACATCTTCCGTCCGTTGAGCTCGGTGCGCAAGATGGTCGAGAGCGGGGGCTGCGCGTGGTTTGATACCGAGGAGAATGGAGGTAGCGGGATCTACAATTACCAGACTGGAGGAACTATGAAGATGCATGAGAAGGGCGGCATCTATATCCTGCCAGCTTGGGCCCGGATGGCGTAGAAGGGCCAGCCGGGGGGTTCGGCCCGATGCGCGCGCCCCGTCATCGAGGAAGAGTTCCCGGCGGCGGCCCCCTGCGCGGGGGAGGCTGCAATGCGGGCCCCCTGGATGGAGGGCGCAGCTGGGTTGGCAGGGGGCGAAAGGGGGCGGCGTCAGCGGGGATGACAGCGCCGCCGGGGCCCACCGAGAAGATGATCGAGGACTGCGCGAGGTGTCCCGTCTTCCTTCCCTTCAGGAACTGGCGTGCAGCGTGCGTGCGGGGACGTGCTAAGAGCTGCCCGCGCTTCAAGTGCGACGAGGGCGGCGAGGTGCACTCCGTCTTCAGCGCGGACTAGGGCCTCTCCGGAGTACCTGGAGAGCCTCTCGAGGCAGTGGCGGGGAAGGACCTGCCGGTGATCGCGGCATTCCATCGCAAGGCAAAGTGCCCTCATGCACATCCAGTGCCGCGCGAGGGCCTGGAGAAGGACGGAGAGATGAACGCGTTCCCCGCGCAGGGTTTGGCGAATGACCGGAAAAAGATCCGGGCGCAGGAAGGCGAGCGTCAAAAGCGACCAGGAGAGCTCCCATCAAGGCGGTGATCCAGATGTCGGAGGAGACGCGGGCCGGCGAGACGATCGTCAAACTAGCCCGAGAGGCGATGAAGCCAGCAACGGTGAAGCCGAGCGCGCGGTCCAGAGCATGCGTGGGCTCGCGCCGACGTCGAAGGGGCACGTCGATCAGTGCGCTCGCATGAAGCTGGACCCGAAGAGTCCGATTGTCGCGTGGCTTCTCGAGCATTCGTCGAACCTTTTCTACATCTTCGGCGTGGCGCCGATCGAGCGGGCGGAGGGCAAGAGCCCGTTTCTTTATTGCTTGGGGCATGGCGGGCGTCGTGGCCCCCGCTCCCCCCCCCCCCCCTATGACGTAACGCTCCCCCCCCCCGTGCGCTCCGGGCACTGCCGCCGTGCGCATTGGGATCCGCGTAGGTGTCCGCGCAGGAATACGCATAGGTGTCTGGTCCGCAAGCGTCGTGGTCGTCGTCGTCGTCGTCGTCGTCGTCCGTCGTCTTCGCTCGTGGTTCGTCGCTCGTCGCTCATCGTCGTCGTGCGCGCGGACGCGGCTGGATTCTGTTTAAGTCCGCGCCGATGACGGCAATCATCTTGGGGGGGGGTCGATGACGTCACGTTTCGCGCCGGTAGCACGAACATGTGGGTGGCGATATGCACCACAACGTTGTGTACATCACAGTGCCCGCGTGCACCACAGCGCCTGTGTACACCACGCCGCCGATGTACACCACAGCGGCCGCGTGCAACACAGCGTCAGTTTGTGCCACCGTGCCTGCGGGCACAGCAGCTCCTGTGTGCACCACAGCGCCTCCGTACACCACATCAGCCGTGCGCAACACAGCACCAGTGTACACCACAATGCCTGCGTGCATTGCAGTGCCTGTGTGCACCACGGCGCGTGTGTGCACCACATCAGCCGTGTGCAACACAGCACCTTTGTTGTGTATAGAATTTCAGAAGGAATCCTTGTGACAAAATGGAGCGCGTGTGGATTCCAGAGAAAACAATGGAACACAAATCCTCATGGACGAAGGAGCGCCGCTGGAATCTACGAGTCCCCCCGAGTCCGCCCGCATCACCTTAACTCCCATTTGCGTCCAGGAGACTCCAGCTAAACTGGCCGTCCGAGAACCAAGTGGACCGATTGAATCGACCATTTTGCGGTGCACGCTGAGATGCGCACGTGCGTTGCAACGCCACGCCGCACGACAGGGGGTAACAAGGAGGAAAAAGAGGAGGAGGATGAGGAGGAGGAGGAGGAGGAGGACGAGGAGGGGGAGGAGGAGGAAGAGGAGGAGGGGGAAGAGGAGGAAAAGGAGGAGAGGAGGAGGAGGTGGAGGAGGAAGAGGACGAGGAGGAGGAGGAGGGGGAGGAGGAGGAGCAAGAAGAGGAGGAGGAGGAGGAGGTGGAGGAGGAGGGAAAAAAACGTCGCATTCGATTCACAAAACTTTCCTGGTGTGGCGTTTAGTTGTCCGCAGAAGATCCTGACGTACATGCTCCTTCTACCTGTCCTATGCACGCAGGCATTGTGGTGTACACCAGCGCTGCGTTGCACGCGGATGCTGTGGTGTAGACAGGCGCTGTGGCGTGCACAGGCGCTGCGGTGCACGCAAGCACAGTGGTGTACACAGGCGTTGTGTTGCACATGGTTGCTGCGGTGTATGTACACCAGTGCCGTAGTGCTCCCAAGTATTGTGGTATACGTGGGCGGTGCGTTGCACACGGCTGTTGCGGTGTGCGCAGGCGCTGTGGTGCACGCGCGGTGTGGTGCACGCGAGCGTTGTAGTGTACACAGGCGCAATGGGCAGATCGTCATTTACATGCTGTTCGCGTCGTCGTCGTCGCTCGTCGCTCGTCGCGTCGTGCGCGCGGGCGCGGCTGTGGTGCCGGAGCCACACGGCGGGGGGGGGCGTCATGCCATACCCCCCCCCGCCTTCCCCCCCCCCATGACGCCCGTCATTGCCGAACATAAAGAAACGCGCTCCAAGGGGCGGCAGGCGGCGCTCCCCGCGTTCGGCGAGAGCGTGGGGCTCAAAAAGAGGATGCGCCACATGCTGGAGGCGCGATGGGAGAGAGGTCTCTTCCTGCCTGGGTGCTAAGGTGGAGTCGACGGAGAGGATCGTCGGCACCGAGAGGGGCGTCTACGTCGCGCAGTCGGCGCAGCGGGCGCCCAGAGACCAGCGCTGCGATTCCGAGGCGGTGTGCGAGTTGAAGGGCCCTCCGTGGAAGTCCGTCCCGGACGGCCCAGGGGGCGAGCAAGTGCGCGGGCGCCCCGGCGTGGCGGAGCTTGAGCCCGGGCGCCCCGCGGCGCCTCCTGTCCCCGCGGGGGCGGCCGAGCAGGTGAAGGCAGCAAAAGCTCTGCTACATCGTGATCGCGGTCTTGGAGGAGTACGGCTTCTCTGAGGGCTGCCCTGCGCGCCTGGCCGCGCGCGCGGGCCGCCCCTGGACGGGCTAGTTGCGCGCGCCGGAGTGTGGGGAGCAGATCGAAGCTGCAGTCGCGGCTGATCCCAATCGTAATTCTCGGCTGATGGCTGCGAGAGCGCGGCGAGCCGAGAAGAGGCCTGCCGCGGGCCAGCCTGTGGAGAGCAGCGCGGGCATGCGACCCAGGATTCTTGCGCCTGGAGCGGCTGCGAGGGGCGCGGCTTCGTCTTCGAGCCGGCCGCCCCCGGCGCCCCGGGGGATGCAGGTGGGTGGAGGCGCGGCCCGCGGTTCGGGTCGGCAGCCCCAGATGGAGGCGGGCGAGCAGGGATCCAGAGCTAAACGGGCCGCCCCGGAGGAGGGCGAGGCCGCGCAGGACGCCGTCGGATTCATGACTGGGCCCGTGGACCGCGGCGGCGGCGACGACGAGGTCGAGCGCGCCACCGGCGCCCTGGTCAAGGTCCAGAAAGAGCGCGCGCTCATGGAAGTCCGCGGTTGTGGAGACGAATGTCCAGCGCCAGTTGAGAAGCTGCGCGAGAAAGACGTCGACGACTACGTTGGCCCCGAGGACCTGCGCCGCAGGGGCGATCTCTCGGGCAAGGCGTTGCCCCGGGATCTGGCCCGGGAGGCGAGGATGGAGGAGGATGCATTCGTCGGCGAGATCGGTCTTTGGGAGGTGGCGCCCCAACCAGGGCGATCGGCGCGAGATGGGTCGACGCGAACAAGGGCGACGAGGCCAATTGCCAGGTGCGAAGTCGGCTGGTCGCGAAAGACATTCGTCGCAGGGGCTCTGTTGAGCAGCATTTTGCTGCAGTGTCCCCACTGGCATCGTTGAAGATGCCCCTCAGTATCGCCGTCGCTTCCGCGCTGCCCCGGAAGGAGGTGGCGCGCGCCAGGAACGGGCAGTGCGCGCTGCAGTTTTTGGACGTAAAGAAGGCGCGCATCTGGGCCATGGCCGAGCGGCTGCTGTTTGCGGAGCCCCCTGAAGACTACAGGCTGGCGCGCGGATCACGGGGGATATGGTTGGCAAGCTTTTTCGCCCCATGCATGGGCGCGGGGTGCCGCCCCCCTGCAGGAGAGGCTGGTGGCTAACGAAATCAAGGCTTTGGGCTTTCGTCAGGGCGGGGGCTCCGCGCGCTTCTTCTGGCGCCCGGCCAGTGTCATCGGGGCGACGTTGCGCGGCGACGACAGCGCGAGTTTGGCCTCCAGGATCGACGCCGACTGGCTGTTCAAGGAGCTCTGCAAGGAGTGGGCCGCGAAGGTGGAGGACATCTTCGGTCCGCCCGACGAGCCGGATGCAGCTCATATCATTCGCGCTTCGAACCGGCTCCTGACGCGGGCGACGGAGGGCATCGCGTGGGAGTGCGACCCGCGGCGCGCCGACATCGCGATTCGCGAGTTGGGGTTGGCTTCAGGAGGAGCCAACATCAACCTCGCCGCGCCGGGGGCCCGCGGGCGGCCCGACGCTGTGGAGGGGGGGGGGGGGGGGCATCACCTTCCCAGAGGAGGAGCGCACCCAGTGCCGGTCGGTCTGCATGAGGCTGGCCTGTGTCGCGCAGGTCCGCCCTGACCTAGGTGTAGCTGTTTGCGAGATGGCGAATGGGGCGCAAGCCCCTTGCGAGCGGCACGTGGCCTTGATGAAGCATGTTGCACGCTATCTTCGAGGCGCCCCTAGACAGTGCTTCAAGAACCAGGAGGCAGCTACATGGTTAGACGGCTGGTGCGACGCAGACCGCGCCGGCTGCCTCGGGGCGCGGAAGACCACGTCAGGGGGCGCGATCATTGCTTCTTGCGCTGTTTGCATCATTTGTGCCGAGGGAAGTCTGTTCTAGCGCTCAGTAGTTGTGAAATTGGGTATTATAATTTAGTGGCTCTCATGAGTGCGTTGCGCGGCCTGCGAGCCATGGCGCTAGATTGCATATTGCGCGCGAGCTCGGTGCGAGCGCGGGCGCGACGGCCGCCGCTAGCATGGCATCGCGACGCGGGCTTGGTCAGACGAAGCACATTGACACTGTGTGGCTCTGGTCGCAGGAAGCATTGGACCGTTTCGAGGCGTCGTTGAGGAAGAGGCGCGCTGTCGAGATAGAAGCAGACCCCCCCTCTAAATTTTTGAACCGAGACGAGGTTCAACGATTCAGCGCGCCGATGGGCTTTAACCCCGAGAGGGTCAGCACCCTTTGGCCCTGGGGGCGTGAGATCTACGTCGAATGGTTTGGGCCCGGCGCGGTTCTGTCTCGGGGGCGCGCCGACAGCTCGCCTGCAGCGCGCCCCTCGGGGGGCGCGAACAGGAATGAACCTCCCTAGAGCCCGAGATCCCCCCCCATAAGTATGGGCCAATTTTTTGTTTCCACCGTGTTGCGAGGAATTCAGCGTGTTCAAGACAACTCATGGTCGATAGGGATCGCGCGTTCCATAGCTAACGCAGTGGTTCAAAAAGATGATTCACTTGCGCGTGCCCGCGCATTTCTAAGAATGGCTGGCGCCGCTCCAGAGGCGGGGGGCCAAGCCTGCTGTCCCCGCCGCAGTTGTGCCCAGAGCGTGCCAGCCGAGCAAGGAAACGCAATGTTGCCCCGCGCAGCCTCGCTCGCCAATCGCATCGGGGGCCCTGAGATCGGGGGGGCCCGAGCGCCGCCACCAACGACTGCGTGGGAGGCCGGCCCGGCAAAGTCCACGCTCGCGATCGGGCACCTGCCCCCGCTGGCGTCGCGACGAACCCCATGTTAAAGGCGCGGAGATGTTCGGCTCCGACATCGCCCTCGTCGCGCGCAACAGATGCAAAATGCAAGAGCAGCCCGGGGCGGAACAAGAGAGGCCGGTCCTCAGAGCAGAGGGCCGGCACTTCAGAGGGACGCGCTCAAGTGCAATCACGCCCCATTCGCGCGATGGAATTGCGCGGAGTAGAATGGCGATGGCAAAGCACAGCGAGGGGAGTGGGGGGTCGGCTTCGTCCAATCCATCGCCCTTCGAGCATGCCCCCTCGCGCCGAATGCCCCTGCCCCTCATCGTTCGCGCCGCGCCCCCCGACCGTTGAGGCCCGCGCGACCGGGCTCCGCGCCCGCAGAGACGGTCGCGCTGGCGCTATCAAACAAGACCCATAGTTTTTGTTTAACTTACAAATTCACGACCGTGCAATCCTACGCGCGTCATTCCACAAGCCCCGCCCAGAGGATGCACCGGGCGCGTGCGCATGCGTTTCGAAATTCATGTTTGCCCGCTCCTTAATAATAGATCAGGCTGCGCACTCGAGTAAACCAGCTCTGACTGATAGTGCGGTAAGTTTGTGGCTGGTGTACCACGCCTTGCCTTTGGCCGCCTGCCTCCGCGTTCGCAGCGGCCTGCGATTCGTTGGGATTCATATTGCTGTCGAGGTCCTGACCATCACCTTGCGCAAGTTCAGGCCGATGCGACCGCGTCGAGCGCATGGGGGCGACGCGCGCGCACGAACGCGCACGGAAACAACATTGAGATGGATCGGCCATTTATGCCGAGGGAGCTTGCGCCGCGATCGATGGCCCCGAGCATTGGACCGTCGATGCGAATGTCTTGGAGGCTTCGTTCCGCAATGGAGGGTCCGACGTTTTTGAAGAGGTTCTTTGCGAACATGGCCCAGCGCCAGAGCTTGCCGAATGGCTCGGGCTTATCGCCGCCCCTGGCCTCTGAGGCGCTATCAGGGCCGTGTGCGGTCGCAGCCAGACACCCCAGCGGGGTGAACGGCCGAACGCGAGCGCCGTGGCCCGGTCCCAGAAGAGGTTGATCTTTTGCGGCGTCTCGAGAGAGGGTTGACATCAGTCGGCGCCACCCCCTCATTCAAGATATATTGCGATGGGATCAGCATCAATTTCATGTTGTCGCTCTTGGTCTGGGTGATCGTGGCGATGCCGGGCGTCGGGACTTGCCCTGGTCCGAATCTCCAATGGTAACTTCGGCACGCGAGTAGCCGCGGAACCCAGCCTCCTCGTCGATGTCGTCGATCTCGCAGCCGATCAGTGTCGAGATGGAACTTTTCACCTTGTCACCCTCCTTTGCCTTTGCGTGTTAGCTGGTCCTGGTCACCATTCAGGGCCAAGCGGTCTTTTTTGGTGTAACCGACGCTGTCGCCAGCGACGTCGCCTTCTCCGCCACGTCGCCTGATATCCGCAAGAGGTGCTTCAACGTGTCGCCATCATTCCACGCGCAGACGTCTTCTTCAGTGATGTTCGGTGGGTTGGTCGTGATTCCGTCTGGCACTTGCGGCTGGTCGATGTTCGCCAACACGGCCAAGCAATCCGACGCCGTCTTCGCGTGCGTTTTGCCGCATTTCCCGCTGACAGGTTTGGTGGTTATTTTCGACTTCAGCTATCTTGCCTTCATGGCGACCTGGCGCTGCTGCTTGGCGGCCTTGTCAGTGAGCCTCTGGATGCACTGTATCTCGGCGGCCACGTCTTCGAGGAAAGGCCCTACCTCATCCGAGATAAGCGTATCGAACGTGGCTTTCGGCCAATCGATATCCTGGCGCTTCACGGCGGGGACCTGTTCGTGCATCTTTTTGATCCTCGCGTGCAGATCAGTCCCTTGCTTCTTGATAGCCGCTGTACTCGTGGCCAGAGTCGCGTTAGCCTCGCCGGGCAGCTTACTGTCCATCTTGGCCATCTTGGCACACTCGCACTTGGACGGGCCCACCAGATTCAGATTGTCAGCCATGGAAAAGCCAGCTCGTCCCTGGCCAATATAAATGGAGGGGGGCCTTCGCCTCTTCAAGACCATTCCCTTTGGTGTTGATCCTGATCTCCTGGCCCGAGGATCCAGTCGACAACCTGGACCTCGCGGGCGGCGCGTCCGTGGCCACGTGCACGGAGGCAGTTGCCTTGGAACTCGTACGAATAGCCACCCACGCGCATGCGCTTACACTTGCACACGCATGCGTTTACAACACACACATACTTACACACCACACACATTTACTCATACACAAAACACACCAAATGACGCTACACATCAAAATGACCTGCCATCCGTGGGGATGTCCTCAGCCTGGTATTGCCAATCATTGTTGGCTTGATGAATGTGCCCTCCCTCCTCCTACACTGTTCCTTCTATTTTCTTTACCCTCCCCCATCATACGCTTTCTCATCTCCATCACCTCTTCCCTCTCCCCAGGGGGGGTCGGATGTGGGGGGAAAGGACCACGCCGAACAATGCTGACCGTGGCTGCACTACAAGGGTGGGCGTCTAGCAGTCACTGGTCCCGATCCAACCACCTCTTACACTTTTTTTCGTCAGCCCTCCTCCCTCTCTGCACTTTTCCCCCTCCCTCCCCTCCCCTCCTTCCCCTTCCTCCTTTCCTCACACCTGTCCCTCCTCCTCCCACGCCGGATTCTCACGGACGGCGGACCGTTCCAGGAGAGGCGCTACGCAGCGTGGCAGACGGCGCAGAAGAAGAGGATGGAGGAGGCGGCCGCCGACAAGGCCGCTCGGGTCCTCGGCCTCCGAGAGCTCGGGGCCGGAAGACTGTGTCCGAAGGGTCCGGCGATAACCTGGGTTCTCTTGGGCCGGGCGAAAGGGGGGGATTGGGAAAGGGGGGGTTACGAAATTTGCTGCATGCAGCTGGTTTCGGCCTCACCGAGGGGCCCATTCCTCGATACATGGCCGCCTCCGGCGCCGGGAGGCGCCGGGAAAATCAGGTACGTGAGCTGATTCTCACCCCCCCCTTTGCTATCCCCCCCTTTTGCCCGACCCGATTCTCGGGGCCGCCCGCTCCCGCCCCCTCCCCCGCCCAGATAGCCTGACCTTTTTGGCTGCGCAGGTCCGAAGGGGTACGCCGTACGGGTGCGCGCGGGCGTAGGCGGCGCCCTCATCCCAAACCAGATGACCCCGGGGCATCGCCGAACAATACAAAGTGGTCTCCCTGTTTCGGGTCGGGCGAAAGGGGGGGGATTGGGAAAGGGGGGGTTACGAAATTTGCTGCATGCAGCTGGTTTCGGCGTCACCGAGGGGCCCATTCCTCGATACATGAGCGCCTCCCGGCGCCGGGAGGCGCCAGGAAAATCAGCTACGCGAGCTGATTCTCAAACCCCCCCTTTGCTATCCCCCCCTTTCGCCCGACCCGACTGTTGGCGCAGGAGGGGGCCCGTGCGGGTCGGACGACATGAGGGGATATCGAAGGGGGCTGTACAAGCCATTGATGGGTTGGGCTCCTGCCCGCAGATTTTTGTGCGATGCTGGGTGGAGTCCACGGCAACTGCTGCGTGCAGCTTGCTGTCGCAGCCCCTCGCCGCGCGGGCGCATGCCTCGCCGCGGGGGCCGCCTCCGGCTCGGCGCCGAGAAAATTGTTGGCGTGAGTTGGTTCGCTGGCTCCCGCTTACAATCCGCTGTGGGTCGTGCCCTCTACATTCACGCTCCCTGTCCTCCTCACCGTCTCCCCTCTGGCCAGAATGTTGAAGGGTAGAAGCAAGTCCAGAGTAGAGGTCGGTCTCATTTCGGGACCCTCGTGGCTCGTCTGGGGCAAGCCTCTTGGAAGCAGCTCTGGGCCTCGCTGTTGTTGTCGTGGCTTCCATGGGGCCGAATCGAGTCAAAGCACGTTGTTTCGTTTTGCAGACGTGGATCAGTCAGGATCGTCTAAACTTCAAACATTACCCCAGTGCGACCCTACCTAGAAGTTGGAGCCCCTAGGAAAGCAGCATTAGTTGCTATGTTATATATGATATGCCATGCTATGCTGCGCTATGCTATGCTATGCTATGCTATACTGCGCTATGCCATGCTATGCTAAGCTATGCTATGTCATGCTGCGCTGTGCTATGCTAAGCTATGTTATGCTATACTAAGCTGCGCTAAGCTGCGCTATGCTATGCTATGCTATGCTATGCTATGCTATGCTATGCTGCGCTATGCTATATTATGTTTGGCTATGTTATGCTATGCTATGCTATGCTATGCTATGCTAATGCAGCGCTGCGCTATGCTAAGCTAAGCTTCGCTAAGCTAACCCTCTAGGCAGAGCCTAGGTAGGGAATTTCACCCATGCTAATTACCCGAACAGGAAACTGAACTGACAACGCGGTTGGCACACACAAGCGCCACAACATACACCCACAGATCTTTCGCTTTGCTTTTGCTTTTGCTTTGCTTTGCTTTGTTTTGCGTTGCGTGTGCTTTGCTTTGCTGTCGTTGCTGTTGCTTTGCTGCTATGCTTTGCTGCTATGAGTTGCTTTGCTCTGCTCTGCTCTGCTATGCTATGCTATGCTATGCTATGCTACGCTGCGCTGTGCTATGCTATGCTGTGCTGAGCTGTGCTGCGCTATGCTATGCTTTGCTATGCTATGCTATGCTATGCTATGCTATGCTGCGCTATGCTATGCTGTGCTATGCTATGCTATGCTATGCTGTTCTGCGCTATGCTCTGCTACGCTGTGCTATGCGATGCTGTGCTCTGCTATACTAAAGCTCAGCGAAGCTAAGATGAAGCTATGCTAAGCTAAGACATACCTGAGCTAAGCTGAAGCTAAGCTAAGCTAAGATCAAATAAGCTAAGCTAAGATGAGACAAGCAACGCTAAGCTAAGGGGACGTAACTGGGGGAACCGCGGGGCGGATCCTGGGGGAACCGCCCGGGGCGGAGCCCACTGCCCGGCCCCTTTAAGCCAAGAGAGTAAGAACCCTTCTAGGCAGAGCCTAGGTAGGGAATCAAAGCTAAGCAACACCAGCCTTTGCGACGCGCGCGATCATAACACAACGATGCGAGCAAAGAATAGTGACCCTCCGTTGTGGAGACAGGCAGCGCAGAGTGGGGCAGACGACGAGGAAAGGATACTTAGAGAGATCCAAAGCCACACAGTTACCAGTCAACGAGTACCTGCTCCTCACGCAGGTGTCCTCCTGCTGCTCCTCCTCCTCCTCCTCCTCCTCGTAGAGACTCATCACCACCTGTACCTTCATCTTTGTCTTTCTCTTACCCCGTGCAGGAGAGGACGCGGGCGCCACAGCGCACTCACGAGGCCCTTTGTCGGCTCCGATCCTCAGCTACGCTCCCCCTTTCTGAGCTTGGCCTCCCGTGCCACAGCCAGAAACTCGGGGCATCGGATCGGACATGAGTGGTACGACATCTGCTGCAGTCTGTTGTTTTCGGCCCTCGATTTCCTGATCGCCTCCAGCGCCGGGAGACGCCCAGAAAACGGGCTGCATGGACTCATTCGCTGTGCCCCTTTGCTATGCGCTATCTCTCATTTCGTGCGCCCTGCTGGGACCGGCGCGGGGGTGCTAAGGCCCCCAGGAGGCCCTAAAGAGGCCCTAGCTAGGAGGCCCCCAGAGGCCTCCAAGAAGCTCCCTAGGAAACCACAACATGGCCTCAAGGCGGCCTCAAGGCGGCCTCAAGAGGCTTCCTTTTCCTCCTACTCCTCGTCATCCTTATCCTCCCTGTTATCCTCCTAAGCATTCGCTCACCGAGAACCACCCCCTTTGATGTTCGGGTTGGCCACGCCTCCCGCAACAGAGAGGGAACCTGACGTGGCACGCGTCCTCGGAGGCTTCCGGAAGTTCTTGGATGGCCCCGAACGCCCCCGACATCAATGTTAGCCAGCGTGGACCCCAAGCAGTGTGATTCTAGCAATCTATGTGGTGCAATCTATGGGGTACAATTCACTTTGACCGTCTTGAAGCTGTCCTCTCCACTGCTCGTGCAAACATCCCACCCTCCCACCCGCAACTTGGTCGCAAGACCTCTTAAGACAAGACCGTGACGGTAGGTACTAGATGGCACTTGGCCACGACACTGACGCCGACGACGACAGCGACAACGACGACGACAGCGCCGCCGACACCGACGACGACACCGACGACGTCTCCAACGACTTCGACGACGACAGCGACCACGACGACAACGACGACACCGACGACGACGACGCCGACGACGACGACGATGACAACGACGACGACGACGCCGACGACGACGCCGACGACGACGCGGACGCCGACGACGACGACGAAGACGACGACGACGTCGCCAACGAAGACGACGAGGGAGGAGGGAGGACGACGACGGCGACAACGACGACAACGACGACAACGACGACAACGAGGGAGGAGGGAGGACGGCGACGACGCGAACGACGAAAAAGGAGGAAAGACGGCGACGCCGACGACGACAACGACGAGGGAGGAGGGAAGACGACGACGAGACGACGACGACAAGGAAGGACGACGACGGCGACGAAATAGGAGGGACGACGACGAGACGCCGACGACGGGCGACGACGACGACGACGAGGGAGGAGGAGGAAGACGACCACGGCGACAACGACGACGGAAACGACCACGATGCCAAAGAGGACGACGACGACGAACACGAGGAAAGACACAGGACGACGCAGGCGACGACGACGACGACGACGCGGGAGCAGGGAGGACGGCGACGACGACGACGACGACGACGCCGCAAAAGCGCGCGCGCACGCTTTTGTTGAAAGTCCGTGTTGCGAGACCTTGCGTTTTTGTAAGTTTTTTGGACGCGCGATTTTGAAATCCTTCCGAAACCGATGGGTTTTGAAGGATTTCGGCGTACGCGCGCGACGACGCGAGCGTCTGCACTTCGTTTCATTTGTTGCAGAGGATTCTCGCGACGGCACACGCGCAAGGGTGTTCGACAGATTTCGACATGCGCGCGCGCGACGCCCGTTTGGTAGCATGTTGTGGAAATCTTGTAAAATCCATTTATTTATATATATATATATATATGTATATATATATATATAAGATTTCGCAAGAGCTCGCGCGTTAGTTTTTTTTAGCACATCAGTGTTATCAAACCATTTGTTTTTGTATGTTCTTTTTGGGAAACTCGATTGCGAAATCTTTCCGGCACCGATGTTTTTTGAAGGATTTCGGCATGCGCGCGCGACGACGCGCGCGTGTGCACTTCGTCTCATTTTTTCAAGGGATCCGTTAAAAAGTGCTATGTTCAAAGAAACAGTCACCGCATACCTTTTTTCTCAAGGGAATTTCAGGGGGGGATACCGGTTGGCCTGGGACATTGTGATTTCATATTTAGGATGGGCATGTGGTCATATTCGTATGTGACTTACATACCCGAAAAAAAGGGGGGGATAACGCCGGAGGGGGATAGAGTCTATGCTCGTTTTAGTCACTTGCCGAACTTGAAGTTGTCAGCTCCACTGCTCGCGCAGTCATCCCACCCACCCACCCGCAACTTGGCTTGCAAAATCCATGCGGGACCGAGCACAGATATTGCTCCGGGGTCGTTTTGGAGCCCTCGGGGGCGTCTCAAGAGCGCCCCAAGAAGGCCGGAGAAGCAAGACGGCCGGAGAAGCAAGACGGCGACGACGACGGCGGCGACGACGAAGACGACATCGCCGACGCCGACGACGACGACGGAAACGACGACGACGTCGCCAACGAAGACGACGACGAGGGAGGAGGGAGGACGACGACGGCGACAACGACGACAACGACGAC